AGGAGGAGGAGAAGAAGGAGAGGAGGTGAAGGAGGAAAGGAGAAGTGCAGGAGAGAAGGAGACGGACAGGAGAAAAAAGGGAGGAGAGAAGAAGGACAGGAGAGGAGGACAGGAGAGGAGGACAGGAGAGGAGAAGGACAGGAGGAGGAGAAACACAGGGGGAAGGAGAAGGAAGGAAGAGAAAGGCAACCTACAGTAGCGAAGTAGTTAGGCATATTCCTGTCCTTGTGTGACATGCGGGTGTTCGTGCTCACGGTCTATGAGTGTTCACTCTCCTCTCGGCCGCAAGCGCAGACGGGCGGCGGAAGAGTTTTGTCTTCGGGTTGAGGATAGTCAGCGAGGGGTGCGCGGATGGATCGTGCAAGGTAACGAGGAGGAAGAATGCGACGAGGGGCCCGACGTCGACGGCGACGAGAGAGACCTCTCTAGTTCCCTAAGTAATCTTACTACTGTTATTAATAATAATATTATTAACAATAACAATAATATCAACAGCAGCAGCAGCAGCAGCGGAGGCAGCACCAGCAGCAGCAGGAGCAGCAGGAGCAGCATCAGGGAACCTGCTGCTGTGGTTGCAGGGTGGTATCGACGGCTGAGACTGGGACGATCTGCTCTGACCTCGCGGACCGTCTTTCTTCTCGAATTGGCTCGGGAATTGTCATTCTGGTCCCACCGGAAGACACGTGGCAGCAATTCCTTGGGCCCATTTGAGAGGTTTTTTCAGCAGCCGTTCGTCTGGTTGGCGGGGAAGATGGCGTTATCGACCCCGCTAGTGGCATCATTGGACGATGAGGGAAAGCTGAGGACTTCACGTTCTTCCCGCAATTCGCTCGGCATCTTCAAGGTTCTCTGTCTGATCGCTACCGTTGTATTGCTGTGAGTATCCCCTCCTCCTCTTCCTCCTTCCTTCCCTCCCTCCCTCTGCCAAATCTCCCTCCCATCTTTCTCCTTCTTTCCTTCTTCTCCTCTTCTTCCTTCCTTCACTCCCTCCCTCTGCCAAACCTCCCTCCCATCTTTCTCCTTCTCCTTCTCCTTCTCCTCCTCCTCCTCCTTCCTTCGCTCGCTCCCTCTGCCAAACCTCCCTCCCATCTTTCCTTCCCTGATCGCTACCGTTGTATCGCTCTGAGTATCTCCTTCTCTTTCTCCTTCTCCTTATCCTCCTCCTCCTCCTCCTCCTCCTCCTCCTCCTCCTCCCTTCCCTCCCTCCCTCTGCCAAATCTCCCTCCCATCTTTCTCCTTCTCCTCCTCCTCCTCCTCTTCGTTCCTTCAGTCCCTCCCTCCCATCTTTCTCCCTCTCCTTATTCTCCTCCTCCTCCGCCTTCCTTCACTCGCTCCCTCTGCCAAACCTCCCTCCCTCCCATATTTCCTTCCCTGATCGCTCCCGCTGTATTGCTGTGAGTATCTTCTTCCTCTCTCTCTCTCTCTCTCTCTCTCTCTCTCTCTCTCTCTCTCTCTCTCTCTCTCTCTCTCTCTCTCTCTCTCTCGCTCTCTCCCCTTCTCCTCCTTCGTTCACTCCCTCCCTTTGCCAAACCTCCCTCCCATCTTTCCTTCCCTGATCGGTACCGTTGTATTGCTGTGAGTATATCCTTCTCCCCCTCCTCCTTTTCTTTTTCTTCTTTTCTCGTTCTCCTTCTCCTTCTCTCCTTCTCCTTCTCCTTCCCCTTCTCCTTCTCCTTCTTCCCTGCCCTATCATTCGACCCATAAATTATAGATAGATAATACATATCCCCCCCTTGCGTTCCTCCCGCGCTTTTTTGGGCATCTCCAAGGGATCACTACCATTGTATTGTTGTATTTTTCTCCTCCTCATCCTTCCCTCCTTCCTTCCCGCTTCCCCACCTTCTTCTCGTTTTTCCGTTCCATTCTCCAGTTTTGTCTTCCCTTCGCGCTTCTCTGCCTTCACTGCACTGGGCGCTTGAGCTGCAGCCAATTCCTCTGCTCTCCTCTTCGTATGGTCGATCAATTACAAGTTTCATCGTTTTTTTTCTAACTTCCCGCCCTTGCGCGTACCCCTTCCCATGGTCCCTGTCCCCCCGCTCCATCTCTCTCTCTCTCTCTCTCTCTCTCTCTC